GTGCGGGAGCCTGAACTCCGCAATGCTGGTCTTCCCGCCGGGTCAGGTTCGGCTTCGTCGGGTGTTCTGGTTCCTTCGGGGACGTCCCTTTCACCTCTCTCGCGATTGCTGGGTTCGGACCCCGGGGGCCTTGCGTCGGTTACTGCGTCGCCGGCTTCCTCTTCGGGTTTTTCGGGGTTTGGTGCCTTGGCGGCTACCCGAGCCCTCACTCGATGTGTTTACAGACGCGTATCTCGGCTAGGGCTTTGTGACCAGTGCTCAACAGGCTGGCCAGGGGCAGTGGGTTCTGTCCTTCCGTCGCTCCCACAGCACGGTGCAGGAATTCACGGCGGTGTGGTTTGCTCTTCTGGGGCTTCGGCTTCACCCGCAAGTCGACGATCCTGCTTCATTCGGACTTCTTCCCGGTGGTTCATTGACTGAACAGGGGGGGGGGTGTTCGATGTGATCCTAGGCTGTATGGCGCTGGTCGCTTCGGATGACTCGTCTGCTGAGTTCTCGGGGTTTGGCTCTCCTGGCAGTTCACGTGCGGGGAGTGTCCAATGTCTTGGCCGACGGCCTGTCTCGTTTCGTTCCCCTCTCCACGGAATGGACGGTTCGACGCCGACTCCTTCCGTTGACTTTGCCAGACGTTCAGACGCCTTGAGGTGGACCTCTTTGCATTGACTTGGTCAAAGCGCCTTCCCCAGTATGTGGCGCCCTTCCTCGACTGCGAGGCCGACAAGGTCGATGCCTTCCGGCAGAACTGGTTGAGGTGGGGGGTTCCTTTACCTTTTTCCCCTGGTTCCACTGTTGCTCCTCGTCCTGACTCGCTTGGAGACTTGAGGCTCGCTTTGGACACCGATCACTTCCACTTTTTTTTCTCTCGAGTCCTAGCCGAGGACAGGACTCGCATCCACTTCAAAAATATTTGTATAAAATTCATTTTTTATCTGATCGACTTTGGGATAGTTTCAAAATAAGCGCCTTTAGAATGCGCATAATTTGATACCAAAATGAAATATGAAGCATGAAACTTGATGTCAGAACACTTGAAAGATTATAAATACGTTTTTGGTCAAAATTTGAAAATATTTGTTAAAATTCTATTTATTGTGCTATTATGTTGGGACTAGTTTTAAAATGCGTACCTTTACGTTGTGAACAATTTGATACCAATCTTGAGGTTATCTTGAGATGATTTCGGGGCTTTTTTTTAGTGTCCCCGCGGCCCGGTCCTCGACCAGGCCTCCACCCCCAGGAAGCAGCCCGTGACAGCTGACTAACATCCAGGTACCTATTTACTGCTAGGTAACAAGGGCATTCAGGGTGAAAGAAACTTTACCCATTTGTTTCTGCCTCGTGCGGGAATCGAATCCGCGCCACAGAATCACGAGTCCTGTGCGCTATCCACCAGGCTACGAGGCCCCAAAATGAAAGATGTAACACAAACGTTTATATCAGAATACTGGAAAGATATAAATAATTTTGTGATGATGAGCTTCTAGAATTAAAATATTTGTTAACAGAGGAGAGTTGTCTTCTTGGCCGGCCCAGCCATGGTTTCAGGCGCTGCTTGCTCGATGTCCGAACCCGGAGGTTTTCCCGCGGCTCCGGTTCTTCCAGCAGAATGGACCGGTGCGTCACGTGGCTGGTTCAATCTTCTCCTCGAGTCTTTGCGTATGGTATTTTTGACTCGCGTTTATCATCATCTCTATGGTGATCAGGTGGCTTCATTGTTAGTATCCCACCTGCAGGCTTCGTCTCGACGGCAGTATGAAGTTTCCTGGCGGTTCTTCTGGTTCTTCTTACGTCTTTGTCGTTGTACTGTACTTCGCTTTCGGTTTGGGTGGTGGTGTCATTTCTCTCTTGGTTGTTCCAGGACCGTCTCCTTATGGCTAACACTGTTGCCTCGTATCGTGCGGTGCTGGCGGAGCTGCTTCAGCTCGATTTTGGTATTAATGTTACGTCTGCGCCATTTCGCAAGCAGTCTCGGACGTTGTTTCACCTCCGGCTTGCTCATGTGCCGCCTGAGCCGTCCTGGTCATTGGACAGAGTGCTTTCTTATCTTTCTTCTCCTCGGTTTGTTGTGGCCCCTTCGGTTCAGGATTGCTTTCTCTAAGGCTCTTTTTCTGTTGGCATTGGCCTCTGGGGGGTTGGGTTGGTTAGCTTCAAGCTCTCCTCCGGCGCAGGGGTTTCTGCTCTTTTGGTCAGGGTGATCAGTTTGTTCGTCTGCAGCCTTTTCCTTCTTTACTGGCCAAGAATGAGACTGTTGCTTTCCGTAGGGGTCCCTGGGTTGTTGATTCTTGGTTGGTTAGGTCTGGGATGCACCATGTTTTGTGTTCAGTTGCGGCTCTCCGCCTTTATTTGGGCGCCACGGATTCTCTGTTCGTGGACGCGCTTTGGGTTGATCCGGTTTCCCTTCTTCCCTGTTCGAGGGTGCGGGTCTCCCAGATCGTCCGCAGGGTTATAAAGGCTAGACAGCCTGGGGTCTATCCCCCGTGCCCATGATGTTTGCAAGACCGCAGCTCTTGCTGCTGTCTTTGGCATTATGTCCTGGGCTGACATTCGGGTGCGGGGATTTTGGCGGTCGAACAGGGTCCTGGCTGCTCGTTACCTTGTTAACACTTTCACGCTTTAGATTAGAGATAACTCGTCGCTGTTTTTTCTTACGATTCCGCATAACAGCCTACTTTTCTCGTCAATCGAAAAAATATTTCTATAAATTCCATTTTTTAACCGAAATGGATGGGGATACTTTTGTTTTGTAGAGAATTTATTTGCGAATTTTTTGGTACCAGAATGAATATTATATCACATAAACTTCTATGAGTAAAAAAAAAATACACAAAGTATGTTTGGGGGTGTGGCGAGCGTGTGGCAGTGGGTTCCCTTTAGCCGTTGATATATCCAACACGTGGGAAATATTTGTATGTGTTATGTATATGTCTGTGTAGGGAATTTTACTGCGATCACTGTCATACAAATTATAAAATGTTTCAACAAGTATAAACATGACAAACATCAAACGAACGAAAACAATGCGTTCGTTTCTGCCGCGAACGCATACTGAGCGACGTGGTTCTATATTTGGCGCTTCTCTTACACATGCTTTGTACAAATGTTATACAGTTCATCTTATAGAAAATTTTATTGCGACCACATTGGTATAAAAAAGAAATACGTACATAGAAAAGTAGGGTCAGGAAACGTATAAACTTTCCAAGCATGATTTCCCCCCTGTGTTTTCGCCAGTGCGCTCGCGGCTAACTACTCTCCACTTCACACACTCTTGCGGGTGGGCAATTACCTATATTAAACATTCATATGCATATGTCCGTGTAGAGAATTTTATTGCGATTCCAATGATACCAAAATTAGCGATGTAGAATAACTGTAGGCTTTGCAACCATTAAGAGAGTGGAAACATTTTGTTGCTGTTTGGCGCTCTCGGTGAGTGATCTGCATAGTTTTTTATTTGGTGTTGATACTCCTTATGCTTGGGCGGCATTTTATAGGTATGCTCTTATAGACAATTTCATTGCGAACACAGTGATACCAAATTTAAATACGTGCGCCTTCAATTATTGTCAGGACAGTCAAAAGAGTGTACACTTTTTCGGTCTTACCGCGTAGGCGCGCGAAGTGCCGAAAGCATCTGGGGTATTGTTTTTTTTTGAGCGCCGAGAGCGCGAAAGTGTTAACGTCCCTGGGCCCAGTCGGGCCTGTGTCGCTTTGGGTCGGCGGATGCAGCCAGTTGTCTCAACTTCGGGTTGAGGAGTGAGCAGCAATCGCCTCTCAGGTAAGTCCCTCTTTTTTCCTCTGTGGGTAGTTAACTCCGGGGAGCCATAGGGGCTCCCCCCAGAAAACCAGCGTTGAATGTAATGAAACGCCATTTTCTGGGTGAGACCCGGAGGCTCCCGGCATCTCTCCCTCCCTCCAGTCAGGGATTTTTCGCGTGTTTTGACATCCAGCCTCAGAACTGGGGTGTGAATCGACGGTGCGGTAGGTCTGGGGCTTCCCCTTCTCCCTCCCGGGAAGGGGGGAGCTGCGCAGACGGTGGAGCGGCAACCAACCGGTGACGTCACACTAGTTTCCTCGTTTTTGTTTGCGGAGTTCTATCCACTTGTTTGGCTTTTGGTGGCAATATTTTCACCAGAATAGGGGATTGTTTTGGGATGCTTATCTTTCTGGGTGCCTGACCCAATCGATGGCAGACATAGAATGCTTCCAATCACACAGAGGTTTCTATAGGCCATTGCTCCCCTTGCCTCTCTGAGAGGGGCCAGGTTCTAGCCGTGGTCCCCAGTAGGCCCAAAGAACTCCATACACATGCCTGATGCCAAAGTCTCACATTAGCATATCAGCCTGGATAGCTCTGAGGAGACTCCGGAGCCTCCAACCCAGAAAATGATGTTTCATTACATTCAACACTGGTTTTTCGTTATTATATTTTTGCAGCATTGCTGTACTTTGTAGGTACTTTTCCTATGGAGGAAAGTAGAGAATGAGATTGTGATGGTTTTTCCTCGCGTACTCTATACAACTTCGGAAAAAAATTGTCTAGTATATTTTTGAAAGATCAATACTTATTCAACATTTGTGTACAGGAGCATCATTCCTGTTTGTCTGTACCAAGATTGTTCTTGTTGTGTTATAACTATTACTGTGCAGTAGTGACGTCATGATCACACTACGTAGTATGTGGGGGGAAACAGTGTACCAGTGGGGACTCCTCACCATGTGGGGGAAACAGTAAACCAGTGGGGACCCTTAACCAAATATTGGTTGTAAATTAAAATAACTCCTCATCCATTTCACGTGATCATTAGTCATCACTTCTTATGTCTAGTCACATCTAAATGACTAATTGTAAGTAATGTAATGAAGTGCTTCATAAAATCCCACATGCAAGTGGAGGAATTTGTTGTATTCAAGAAAATGTGTTTAGAAAGTGGGATAAAGTATAACCCATGTGAAGTTGAGATAATATATGACTAATTATATTGATATTTCTTTTGCAGGGAGAGGTAAAAAATTGAAAAACTAGATACTGCATCTTTTGTTTCTGCAAAGTGTTGTTTAGAGTAAGTCCAGGTCAGTAATTAACATTCAGTATATTGTTTTGTTAGGATATTATCTTTTGGTCTCCCTGCTCTTTCTCTCTCTCCCTCTCTCTCCCTCCCTCCCTTACTGACCAATTATACCACCCTCTCCATCTCTCTCCCTCCCTTACTGACCAATTATACCACCCTCTCCATCTCTCTCCCTCCCTTACTGACCAATTATACCACCCTCTCCATCTCTCTCCCTCCTCCATACCTCTCACACAGGCAAATAACAAAGTGTAATGGTGATATATTTACCCATCAATATATCCCATAATTATCCAGAAATTGCATTTGCAATCAGTAGGATTATATGAGTCTTACATTGAAGATGTATGTTGAACCAGTAGATATCTTTATTTCTTATTGTATACTGTACTTTGCACATAAAGATGTGCAATAATATGCTGCTCATCAGCTTAATTGATGTGCTTTATTTTCCTCTATAGATTAGATTGATTTCATGTTAGGTTCAGGGGTGCTGGTGTACCATGATTGTTAGGAACACGTCGGCACACACCATAACCCCTACACTCTCACCACTCGACCTTAATGGACACCAAAATGCTTATAATAAGGTAGATATTACACAATTGTGGTACAATCCCATGTATGCTTCCCTCCCTCCCCTTTTACCAACACCTCACCATCCATACCCACAACCCTTCCTCACCATCCATACCCACAACCCTTCCTCACCATCCATACCCACAACCCTTCCTCACCATCCATACCCACAACCCTTCCTCACCATCCATACCCACAACCCTTCCTCACCATCCATACCCACAACCCTTCCTCACCATCCATACCCACAACCCTTCCTCACCATCCATACCCACAACCCTTCCTCACCATCCATACCCACAACCCTTCCTCACCATCCATACCCACAACCCTTCCTCACCATCCATACCCACAACCCTTCCTCACCATCCATACCCACAACCCTTCCTCACCATCCATACCCACAACCCTTCCTCACCATCCATACCCACAACCCTTCCTCACCATCCATACCCACAACCCTTCCTCACCATCCATACCCACAACCCTTCCTCACCATCCATACCCACAACCCTTCCTCACCATCCATACCCACAATCCTTCCTCACCATCCATACCCACAACCCTTCCTCACCATCCATACCCACAACCCTTCCTCACCATCCATACCCACAACCCTTCCTCACCATCCATACCCACAACCCTTCTTTGCCTTCCCTACCCACAATCCCCAGCTACCCACCTCTCCCTTCTCCCCCAGCTACCCACCTCTCCCTCCCCCCCCCCAGCTACCCACCTCTCCCTCCCCCCCCCCCAGCTACCCACCTCTCCCTCCCCCCCCCCAGCTACCCACCTCTCCCTCCCCCCCCAGCTACCCACCTCTCCCTCCTCCCCCCCCCCAGCTACCCACCTCTCCCTCCCCCCCCCCAGCTACCCACCTCTCCCTCCCCCCCCAGCTACCCACCTCTCCCTCCCCCCCCCCCCAGCTACCCACCTCTCCCTCCCTCCCCCCCAGCTACCCACCTCTCCCTCCCTCCCCCCCAGCTACCCACCTCTCCCTCCCTCCCCCCCAGGTACCCACCTCTCCCTCCCCCCCAGCTACCTACCTCTCCCTCCCCCCCAGCTACCCACCTCTCCCTCCCCCCCAGCCAACCCACCTCTCCCTCCCCCCAGCTACCCACCTCTCCCTCCCCCCCTAGCTACCCACCTCTCCCTCCCTCCCCCCCAGCTACCCACCTCTCCCTCCCTCCCCCCCAGCTACCCACCTCTCCCTCCCTCCCCCCCCAGCTACCCACCTCTCCCTCCCTCCCCCCAGCTACCCACCTCTCCCTCCCTCCCCCCCAGCTACCCACCTCTCCCTCCCTCCCCCCCAGCTACCCACCTCTCCCTCCCTCCCCCCCCAGCTACCCACCTCTCCCTCCCTCCCCCCAGCTACCCACCTCTCCCTCCCCCCCTAGCTACCCACCTCTCCCTCCCCCCAGCTACCCACCTCTCCCTCCCCCCCAGCTACCCACCTCTCCCTCTCCCCCAGCTACTCACCTCTCTCTCCTCCCCCCCAGCTACCCACCTCTCCCTCTCCCCCAGCTACCCACCTCTCCCTCTCCCCCAGCTACCCACCTCTCCCTCCATCCCCCAGCTACCCACCTCTCCCTCCATCCCCCAGCTACCCCCACCTCTCCCTCCCTCCCCCAGCTACCCACCTCTCCCTCCCTCCCCCCAGCTACCCACCTCTCCCTCCATCCCCCAGCTACCCACCTCTCCCTCCCCCCAGCTACCCACCTCTCCCTCCCCCCAGCTACCCACCTCTCTCTCCCTCTCCCCCAGCTACCCACCTCTCCCTCCCTCTCCCCCAGCCCCCCACCTCTCCCTCCCTCTCCCCCAGCTACCCACCTCTCCCTCCCTCCCCCCAGCTACCCACCTCTCCCTTCTCCCCCAGCTACCCACCTCTCCCTCCTCCCCCAGCTACCCACCTCTCTCCCTCCCTCCCCCCCCAGCTACCCACCTCTCCCTCCCCCCCAGCTACCCCCACCTCTCCCTCCCCCCCAGCTACCCACCTCTCCCTCCCCCCCAGCTACCCCCACCTCTCCCTCCCCCCCAGCTACCCACCTCTCCCTCCCCCCCCCTACCCACCCTCCCTCCCCCCAGCCCCCCACCTCTCCCTCCCTCCCCCAGCTACCTACCTCTCCCTCCCCCCCCAGCTACCCACCTCTCCCTCCCCCCCAGCTACCCACCTCTCCCTCCCCCCCAGCTACCCACCTCTCCCTCCCTCTCCCCCAGCTACCCACCTCTCCCTCCCTCCCCCCCAGCTACCCACCTCTCCCTCCCTCCCCCCCAGCTACCCACCTCTCCCTTCCCCCCAGCTACCCAACTCTCCCTCCCTCCCCCCCAGCTACCCACCTCTCCCTCCCTCCCCCCCAGCTACCCACCTCTCCCTCCCTCCCCCCCAGCTACCCACCTCTCCCTCCCCCCCCAGCTACCCACCTCTCCCTCCCCCCCAGCTACCCACCTCTCCCTCCCCCCCAGCTACCCACCTCTCCCTCCTCCCCCAGCTACCCACCTCTCCCTCCCCCCCAGCTACCCACCTCTCCCTCCCCCCCAGCTACCCACCTCTCCCTTCTCCCCTAGCTACCCACCTCTCCCTCCCCTCTAGCCCCCACCTCTCCCTCCCCCCCAGCTACCCACCTCTCCCTCCCCCCCAGCTACCCACCTCTCCCTCCCCCCCCAGCTACCCACCTCTCCCTCCCCCCCCCCAGCTACCCACCTCTCCCTCCCCCCCCCAGCTACCCACCTCTCCCTCCATCCCCCCAGCTACCCACCTCTCCCTCCCCCCTAGCTACCCACCTCTCCCTCTCCCCTAGCTACCCTCCTCTCCCTCCCCCCCAGTTACCCACCTCTCCCTCTCCACTAGCTACCCTCCTCTCCCTCCCCCCCAGCTACCCTCCTCTCCCTTCTCCCCTAGCTACCCACCTCTCCCTCTCCCCTAGCTACCCACCTCTCCCTCTCCCCTAGCTACCCACCTCTCCCTCCCCCCTAGCTACCCACCTCTCCCTCTCCCCTAGCTACCCTCCTCTCCCTCCCCCCCAGTTACCCACCTCTCCCTCTCCCCTAGCTACCCTCCTCTCCCTTCTCCCTTAGCTACCCTCCTCTCCCTTCTCCCCTAGCTACCCTCCTCTCCCTTCTCCCCTAGCTACCCACCTCTCCCTCCCCCCTAGCTACCCACCTCTCCCTCTCCCCTAGCTACCCTCCTCTCCCTCTCCCCCTAGCTACCCTCCTCTCCCTTCTCCCCTAGCTACCCACCTCTCCCTCCCCCCTAGCTACCCACCTCTCCCTCTCCCCTAGCTACCCTCCTCTCCCTCCCCCCCAGCTACCCACCTCTCCCTCTCCCCTAGCTACCCTCCTCTCCCTTCTCCCCTAGCTACCCACCTCTCCCTCTCCCCTAGCTACCCACCTCTCCCTCTCCCCTAGCTACCCACCTCTCCCTCTACCCCCCTAGCTACCCACCTCTCCCTCTCCCCTAGCTACCCACCTCTCCCTCTCCCCTAGCTACCCTCCTCTCCCTCCCCCCCAGCTACCCACCTCTCCCTCCCCCCCAGCTACCCACCTCTCCCTCTCCCCTAGCTACCCTCCTCTCCCTCCCCCCCAGCTACCCACCTCTCCCTCTCCCCTAGCTACCCTCCTCTCCCTCTCCCCTAGCTACCACCTCTCTCCCTTCTCCCCTAGCTACCCACCTCTCCCTCTCCCCTAGCTACCCTCCTCTCCCTTCTCCCCTAGCTACCCTCCTCTCCCTCTCCCCTAGCTACCCTCCTCTCCCTTCTCCCCTAGCTACCCACCTCTCCCTCTCCCCTAGCTACCCTCCTCTCTCCCTTCTCCCCTAGCTACCCACCTCTCCCTCTCCCCTAGCTACCCACCTCTCCCTCTCCCCTAGCTACCCACCTCTCCCCCCAGCTACCCACCTCTCCCTCTCCCCCAGCTACCCACCTCTCCCTTCTCCCCTAGCTACCCACCTCTCCCTCTCCCCTAGCTACCCTCCTCTCCCTCTCCCCTAGCTACCCTCCTCTCCCTTCTCCCCTAGCTACCCACCTCTCCCTCTCCCCCAGCTACCCACCTCTCCCTCTCCCCTAGCTACCCACCTCTCCCTCCCCCCCAGCTACCCACCTCTCCCTCTCCCCTAGCTACCCTCCTCTCCCTTCTCCCTTAGCTACCCTCCTCTCCCTTCCCCCTAGCTACCCACCTCTCCCTCTCCCCTAGCTACCCACCTCTCCCTCTCCCCTAGCTACCCACCTCTCCCTCTCCCCCAGCTACCCACCTCTCCCTCTCCCCTAGCTACCCAGCTCTCCCTCTCCCCTAGCTACCCACCTCTCCCTCTCCCCCAGCTACCCACCTCTCCCTCCCCCCCCAGCTACCCACCTCTCCCTCCCCCCCCCAGCTACCCACCTCTCCCTCTCCCCCAGCTACCCACCTCTCCCTCCTCCCCTAGCTACC